AAGAAGCACATCCTGGTGGCGCCCTTAGTGCACCAGGAACATACTGCTTACATTTTGTTCGGGTGCGCCTGAATGGTTCGGAATACTGTCAGCTTGATTAACTAATGGCAACTGAACTGCAGTAATTAGAAATCATTTTACTTGTGCCCACACCCTGTAGGAGCAAAAATCCAGCGGAAATGGAAACCTCGAAGAACTAGTTGGAAAGAGGCAAAATGAAGTTTAAAATAAAAAAATAAATTAGGAAAATCTGGATCAGAATTAATCAAATTCAGAGGAACGGGGAAAGGGGATACCTTTCTAGCCAAGATCATTTCTCCAGCTCTTGGATTTGCTATTGTAATGGTTGAACAATGAAGTGTGGAAACCTGTAAGGCCAGGCAGAATAGGTGGTGATTGCTGGCCACATTCGACATCATTTTCCGAATTTGGCGAAGAAGACATGGATTCGCTTGGGATCGGATGCGGCTCGTAAGTTACTGCATACTGCCGGTATGGGGAACATCTTTCTGAATTCCACTGTTCGTTTTGATGTTGCTCTTGTTGCTGCTGCTGTTGGTGGTGATGGTGATGATGATGATGTTGATGATTGTGATGGTGATATTGGGGTGCTAGTGATAGGCGATTATCCATGCCAATCATCGTTCTTTTTTCATCTCAATAAGAACAGTAATGCTTTTTTTGTTAGCAATGCGTATGCTTCATTTTTTGTCTTTTTATAAATTCAAATGCAAATGAACTCCCAGCGTAAAGCTTTCAGAATGTTCGCAGAACCTCACATCAAAGGCAGCTGTGCCCGCAGATTCGAATTATTTAAAATCCGCATTCTGAGCCGGTTTCTGAAGATTTCCAGACAAAGGAGAGGGCGCAAATGTTCAGCCTTGGCTGGGCTTGTTTTTGAAAGCTATCATGGACTGTTCTCTAATATTTTGTTTTGCTTTATTCTTGCAGCTAGGCGGAAGTTGTTACTCTATTTATTCTCGGCAATTTGTAAACTAGGTTTTCGGATCCAAAAAACGTCTGCGTACCGGAGCTATGTACACTTTTTTTGATTCATGGACAAGGGGAATGCTTTATCAAAAAGTACGGATGTCTGTGTGCGTGTATGCATACGTATGTAAGAAGCAAAACTGCAACATACTGGTACAAAAGGATGCTGCCTGATCCGGTAAAATATGCTGGCAAGACTCATACAGTTCCGTGTTAACGGCGCTTACTGATGGCACATCCACAAAATCGTTACCCGCATCGGCTACTATTGATCCAAGACCTGCAATACGGATTTTATCTCCTGAGCTTAATGTACAAGTTTCTTTTTAAAAGCAAAAAATACACTTCCTGAAAAAACCACCAATTTGAAATTTCCAGTTTCTGAATTGGCTGAGTCTGACAGTGCAAACGAGTGATGCACAGAAACATGCAGATATTGCCAGATGAGGTGTGTGTGCATGAAGCAGCAGTGAAGTAAGTTAATGTGCAGTTAAATCCATCAAAACCATACAGTAAAGCCTTAAAACCAATGCAATTGGCTTCAAATTTACGCAAGCTCCTCTTTCCACCTGTGCCACTGCCATAACTGACAAAGAATTTTCATCAGATGCACGCAAAAAACGCTTTTTTTAGAGGGGTCGAAAAAACTTCCCTGTTTTTTAGTGGAGCTGAACTGTACTTTAGATTGTTTAATAGATCAAGGAATTGACGCCAAGATTTCTAAAAAGCAGTTTTCTCATGCAGCCACTCACGATTGCTAAACGTTCTATATCAACACGAATGGTAAATTTCATTCCAAACAAATCCTTTATCGAAAAAACACACTTGCATTTCGAAAGTTAGTTTTACTGCTCCTCTCATAATAGCATGCGAAATAAACATTTAGAAGATTCAATTTTTGATAACGAATTAAAAATTCTTCTTCAGTATGCGCTTAAAAAATCACGATGCGCCCTCCCCTCTCAAATTCTTTTTCCCTTCTGCTTAAAAAAAATTCCCAAAAATCACTTTTTTTTTGGTAAGGATAATTTAAATCGCAGCAATATTTTGAGCTCTCATTGGGCGAGTCAAAATTCTTTTTTTGCCACTGACTTAAAAGTCTAAAAAAAACGAAGAAAACTGATATGAAAACAATAAAAGTATTGATTTCGGTAGAGACGATGCTCTCGGGAAGCTCACTGAATGGAATGGAACCGAATCGAATGGTATTGCGAATTGCGCCACTTATCCAGCCAGCCTCATCCGGCAAAGTGAGGTTGCTCGGACAAGTAATTAGAGTTCAACAATTGATTGGCCATACACCTCAACACGCGTGCCTCTCATTTTATTTCTTTACATTCATTTTCAAGGTTCTCTCTTTTCCGCCCCGCACCAACTCCCCATCACCTTTTCCATCTTGCAGTCCCCTTTTTTCATTTTCATGTTTTCATCAGTACAGAAAACGACCTGTTTCGGGATCCGAGCACAAGTATTTGTAACAAATCCAGTCATTTCAAAGCCCTCTGAGCAGCAGCTAAGATGAAGCCGTTTAGGCAAGTCTTCTCAGTGAAGATCATGACCAAACATTGTCATCTTTGCGTTTGGCAGTCCAAAAATTATATCATGACTTCAACGATGTCTGATCGGGCAAATTATTTAGTATTTTTGAAGGCTGAGGCAATTTTAGAAAATTTTGCTGCACGGGCTCACTCCAGGTAATTTTTGAGAAAACTCATCAAAATATAATTCATTAATTCTATTTTTCAGTCCATCACTGTTAAGTATATTAGACACACAGCACATTTACTGGAATACGGCAGATTATTTGGAAAAAAAAAAACTGTTTTCCATTTTTTGTATCCTCAAGAAAAACTTGATTATGACAATAGTTATACTTAGCTTTGGCAATGCTGCGAAAGAAATTAAATACCAAAACGAAATGCCGTTGTTCGACTATCTGCAGAACTTGGAGGAGCAGTTTTCGGATTGTGCACAAATGTATTTGACGTATAGGCATTTGAGTACGCTTGAGGCTGCGACCAGTAGACAAAATCCTTCCTTAGCATTTCTGTGCTTCACAATACACCAGCCGTTACACGAATCAGCCAAGAATCAGTGGTCAGCACTAAAATTCAAAATTTTTTATTTCCTGGATATGCACAAATGCGAGCAATTTTTGGAGTGACATCTGTAAATCGCGCATCTCCAACAAACATGTTCCCAGCAATGTTTGCGATTACGTGGGACAGAAGAGTGCATGTTTCATATATTGCTCTGGGCAAAGGCGTGCGCTAAATTCGGCCCGTCATGCACTAGTTTGATTGATAAGCGCTGTCTTGCCTGAGTAATGCTAAACCAGAGGTAAATCCTCACTCACAGACTAGATAGGCCATTTTCGCTGCTATTGTTAGGAGGATCCAAACTATTCACCAAAAAATGCGATTAGGCATGCGAAGCCAAAACTGCTTGATGAAAGCGGAAAGAGAATATTGGCAAAAAACAATGG